AGTGAAGAGCTGTCTTGCCTTGCCGTTAGCTAAATTTTCATAGCAGTTTTCTTTATCCGACACCGTTAGATCGGTTTTGGGCTGCCAGATAAAATGTTCAACGCTTTAGTAAAAAAAAAGTTGCTTAAAAAATATCAAAACTAAAATAAAGCGGGATATAGACATGATTTTTTAGTTAATTTTTAAATACTTAAACATAATGAAATGGAAAAGAAGCTCGTTTAAACGAAACTAAACAATGTGTGTATAGTGCGGAACATTAGCACTTAATAAAGAAAACCTTGATTAATTTTCAAAGTTAAATTAATCATCAAATTAGGTAACATTTTATGTCACAATACATTGTCTTTGAATCTTGACCTCCGTGAAACTTTTTAAATAGCTCGGTCCAGTAGAAGTTTTTGAAATTTTGTTCGCAATATTCCGACCATGATGGACGAAAGACAGGAATCAAGTTAAAAACAAATTCATATGTGTTTTTGAGAACTCGAAAATAGCGTAAAGTAATGCTTCCATTAAATTGAAATTACTTAAACAGAATTAGGCCTTTTACTGATATGCGAAGTTTTGTCTATCTAACGGAATCAATACTCAAGCTATCGTGTTCACTGATAGACACTCAGACAGACACAGACAGACACACACACACATACAGACAAAATTCCAAACTATGTTTTTCCCTCTCTGGGAGGTGTTAAAACGTCGAGATAATCATAAATTTCGATTTTTTTTGCGCGATTACATTAATTCTTCTACACTCCGTATACGAGAAAGTAATTGGTGTGTTAAGTTAAAGGACATGAGTTTTTGAAACCATGAATTCGGAATTAAATTCACCAAATAAAAATTGCTTAAAATTAGAAAGTTTTAGTAGGTATATATTATCTGAAAGTACAAAAAATACAAAACCAATTTATCGATCCAAAAAAAATGAATTGATTTAAAACTTCCGACCGGCTAGTTTGTTTTATTAGGTGCGTGAATATAAAGTCTCCAAGCTTTTTTTTTTTCGTTTGAAAGATCGATCGCATCTTCACCCCTTCCCCCACCCCTTACTCTTTCTGAAACGTCATTTTGGACGACCCTTAAATAAACATTATTTATTTTAGTTTATTCATTTATTTATGGTTACGATAAACGATTTGTAAAAACAAATGTCCCCGAAAACATTTTCTTTCGAAATAAATAGGCCTTGTGGCCAATGTTCCTGGAATGAAAAAAAAATTTATTTAGTATTAATTTCAGATGTGAACTGAACCACCTCTAGTGGGTGGTGTTTAAGTGCTTTTATTGTTGGTGCTATGTTTGACCAATTGAGCAACCCTGTGCTCAGGTTGGTATGATGTTTGCTCAACCCTGTACTGTGGTTGGTTTCTTGAAATATAGATTTAAGTTTTTGGTGGGGTTTTTTTAATCCGGCTGTAGCTTAAATGTTTCACCAAGGGGTCGTCCATAAATGACGTCACACTCGTAGCGGGAGGGGGGTCCGTAATTTTGTGACGGTGTGTGATGAGGGGGAGGGGGATTTCAGATGGTGCGACGTCACACTTTTGCATTCTAAAAGAGCAATATTAGAAAACGAATTGTAGACGTTATTTCGCGTTTTAAAAAACGGTTTTGATAAATTGTAATAGGAGTTGATCAAAATACTCTATGTTGACAGAGTTCAGACAAGATTTTGGAAAAATATCGATGTTTTAAGAAAAATTCAGCTTCTATTTTGAGGGGGGGGGTTGTAAGCTGAGGTGTGACGTCATTTTAGGGGGTGGGTCTGGCTTTTTGTGACGACGTATGACGGAGAGGAGGGGGGGGGGGGGGTAAAAATCGTTCAAAAAAAGCCTGACGTCATTTATGGATGACCCCCCCAAATGTATTTTTAGTTTACCTTTAACGACATCCACTTGCCCTTGTTGTATCATCAAATGTGCACATACCAGCTGGGGGAGGGGAGGGGAAAGTGTATGTGTGTGGTGGGGGGGGGGGGGTATCAAGTAAGAATCGTAGCCTTTCAAATAAAATAAAATTATAAATCACTGTATAACCAACAAGAACTAATGCGTAATCTTGACAACAATTAAACTTTGACCAGTCATATAGAGTCTAGATAGGAAAATTCCCAACGTTTATTTTTAGTAGCATCACGTGCCTGTATTGGCCAGATAAATGTGTTGGTGGATAGGGGCAAAATTTACAAAATTTCATACATTGGGAAGTTGGGGAAGGGGTCAAAGAATGTAATCAGAAATGATTGTATATAAAAAAAAATTTAAATAATGAAAAACAACCATTTTCTTTGCTTTACGGTTTTGTTTTGTTTTTTTTTTTTGGGGGGGGGGGGGGGGGGGGGGGGGTCGGACTTGTACGAACAACTCATTAGATGATTGTCCAACTAATCTTCAAGTGACTCTCTGACCTATACACACACGAGAAAGTCAAGTGACTTGTCAAAACATAACGGGGGCGGTCTATGTGGAGGGTGGATAGGGCTGATACCTAGGGCCCTTTTTCATTATCGTCATTCTCGTTCGTGCCCACACGCATGGGGTAGATGAAGTAGAGTTTAGCTTATTCAGAGACCTCGGCATATGAAGGGATAGCGTGGTCAGCACTATGCTTAGCCGCCTTTGTTTCCCTAATGTGAGCTGGGTGAGCTCAAGGACGTTCCACTAATTTGAACCCGGATTCGAACTCGAGACTCTTGGTTTAGCAGTCTAGCTCTCTACCGCTAGGCCATGCCGTCCCTATAGCCCTTTTTTAAAGGTCCTAAAATGTTTTTTACTTTCTCGTATATACGAAGTATAGAGAAAGTCTTGTAATCGTGCAAAAAAAAATCTAGATTTTTACAAAATCTCGACGTTTTACACCTCACTGATACGGAAAAACATAATTTTGCAATCTTGTCCGTATGTCTGTGTGTCTGTCTGTGTGTATGTCTGTGTGTCTGTCTGTGTGTAAACACGATAACTTGAGTACCGTTGCAGCTAGGTTGATGAAATTTCATATATAAGTATTTTATCAAAATCGTAGATCCTGATCAACTTTTGAGCGATTTCCGATAACCGGAAGTGGTACTTTTTCTACTTTGAATTTTTCAAACGCCTATAACTTGAGTACTATTTCAGATAGATAAATGAAATTTCCCATGTAAGTAAAAGATCTAATTTTCTACCTTCTGTCAAATTTTGAGTAATTTCCGTTGACCGGAAGTACTAATTTACGCTATTTCCGATTTCTCAAAAAACGCATGTAAATTTATAAAGTACTCAAAATATTGCGCACTATTATGCACATTTTGTTTTGGCGTTCGCTTGGTGCGCAATTCTTTTTTCTATGAAATTCTATTCTATTTTTAAAAGTTTAAGTAATTAAAAATCATGTCTATATTCCAAGTTATATAAGAATATTCGAGAAAGTTTAGGGGAGATCACTCCCGGTTTATTTTTATAAAATAAAGTACACAATTCAATTTTCACAGTGACATTTAAAAAAGGGAGCCCAACACATTTTATTTTTTCTATATCATAAAAAGTCCTCCCATATAATAATCACAAAGATATCAAGAAAACCTATTCTAGGGGGTCCGAGCAAGCTTAATGGTACACTGACATTAAGTAAATCACGCTGCATAAAAAAACTGAATGAACGAAACCTGAACCCACTTTGGCAGGGTCCCAACGGGTAAGTGTGTCACCTCTATAATTAGCTCGTGTCGCGAGCTTATGGAATGTCGTTATCTGACGCCTATCAGACCCCAACACAAGGAACACTGTGTGGGCGGCATGTGTGGGACGAGGTGTTGGGGTGATTTGCCTAGAATCGATAAAATCAATCAATATCGATTCCATCTTTCTGAAAATGTAATAGTAACTGAATTGTATTGTTGTGTATATGAAACATAATGAAGCTTGCGTGACCGGATTTTTTGTGAATGGAACGGGTTTACGTGCTTGAGATTTTGTGCAGACGTTGCCATTTTTGTCTCCCCTTACATTACACGCTGAGATAATTTGTTCAGAAATCAAAGAGTAGCGCAATGTTTTGTACTGCAGCTTAGTTGGTTTATGGTTATTTTGGGTTGGGGTATGTGTATTACGAAGGGGTGCTTGAATGCCAGATTCAAATGCCGGTCGGTGTTCAATATCTTTGTCGAATAATGTAGTGGTTCTCAAACAGTTTTATACAAGGGCCCAGTGCAAGTATAATATAGGCATATGAATTGAGAACCTAGAAGTTTGATAAGGGGTGGTATGTGAGGGGAGGGGAGTGGGGTGGGCTAGGATGTGAGGGGAGGTATGGGTAAAGGTGTGAGGGATGCGAAGGTACAGTTATGTGTCAGGAGAGTGTGGATGGGGTTGGAGTGTAAGGGAGTGTGCAGATGAGGTGGGGGGGGGGGGGTAGCGCATGAGGCATCTGGCTAAAGGATGAGACAGGCGTACAGCGGTTAGTTACAGCGCCAGATAAAGCCTGGGTGGTGCCTGGTGGCTGAACAACTGGGACCAGAGTTTCTTACAGGCATCTCTTCGGAGAACAAAGTCTCAGAACGAAATGGAATTTATATAGAAAATATAGAGTTTTAACAGTGTCGTCGTCGTCGTCCCCCGGAATTTTTAGTCCCTCCCCCCCCCCCCCCGAAAATTCCCAGTGCCCCCCCCCCTCCCCCGAGACAGAAGTCTGGTAGAAACACCAGGGACCTTTCGAATATTACGTCACTTGAACCATTTTAGCTTCTGATCAGTTATTACAAGTGACGTCACAGGGTCGTTTATTTAGGGTGTCGTCCCACTCCCTCCGACAATTTTGTATTTCCGGTTTGATGTCGACCCTCTCCTCCACTGTTTTGTTCGTTTAACTTGATCTAACGTTATTTATTCGGTAATATTTGGTGTTATTTTTTGTTTGTTAAGATTTCTAAGGTCTGAAGTGGCATTAGGAAATGTTTGACTCACTTCTCCAGATCTAAACTTTTTTTTATCCCCCCCTCCCCCCATATTGCAGGTTGCTGCAGGAAGTACGAGTGTCCTGTGGGATACAGCCGCGTCATGGACACGTGCTTCAGGTTCGTCATGTCCAAAAGGTCAAGGTCGTCTTGGGCAGACGCACAGGACGAGTGCCTGGACTGGGGAGGGAACCTCGTGACCATCGACGACAAAAAGAAGGAGAAGTTCATCAGGCAGCACCTGAGGAACAATTTTAGACACATTGGTAGGCTGGGTGCTATGTGCTACATACGGGGTCTGGTAGGCTGGGTGCTATGTGCGATTGTAGAAAAAAAAACACAGAAAAAAAAAACACAGAAAAAAAGTCACAGGAAAAAAAGTCACAGGAAAAAAAGTCACAGGAAAAAAGTCACAAATATATATTTGCATGGAATTTGTTAATACTTGTATGTATTAAATATTCAGAGAGTGCAAATTAACTTAGGATTAACTAAATGTAATGTAATGTGTGTAGGTTGTATACGCATAGTAATTTTTATAATTCATCTAAACATATTTAGTATGAAGTATGTAGATTGTAATTATGTTAAACATAATAGTAATATCATTTAAGAGAATGCTCCAAAGTCCACGGTTTTCATCGTGTTTTTTTTAATACCAACATTAAATTAACGTGAAATTATAAGTTCATCTGACTTGCTGCCCTCAACTCATCGCAACAATAGTTATACTTAGTTCAACCACCTTTACTGCCCACATTTATCTCGCTCATTACATAACCTAGGATCAAAACAAAAAGCCGACAAGGTTCAAGGCTGTTAATGACACAAAACGCCAACAACACACAATATGTTCAGACAATGCCTACTGAGGAGAGGCCGACCAGAGTATAGCCTACGGAAAAACATATGCAAAACACAACGATGTGCCTAAATTTGTTTTATAATTAACTTTTTTACCGAGAATTGAACTTAATACGTAACAAAAGTTGAGAATATTGTGTAAATTATCTTAGAGTATTTTTACTTATAATTGTTATAAACCATAATGCTTTTAACGTCTATAAATTAATTTATGCTGTAAAAAAATACAAACCACAACAATAAACATACACAATTTTACAATTCTTAACAAATACATCAAAATATTTCTAAAACGATTTTTGTGCTACATATAGGGTCTGGTAGGCTGGGTGCTACGTGCTACATATAGGGTCTGGTAGGCTGGGTGCTACGTGCTACATATAGAGTCTGGTAGGCTGGGTGCTATGTGCTACATATAGGGTCTGGTAGACTGGGTACTATGTGCTACATATAGGGTCTGGTAGACTGGGTGCTACGTGCTACATATAGGATCTGGTAGGCTGGGTGCTATGTGCTACATATAGAGTCTGGTAGGCTGGGTGCTATGTGCTACATATAGGGTCTGGTAGACTGGGTACTATGTGCTACATATAGGGTCTGGTAGGCTGGGTGCTATGTGCTACATACGGGGTCTGGTAGGCTGGGTGCTACGTGCTACATATAGAGTCTGGTAGGCTGGGTGCTATGTGCTACATATAGGGTCTGGTAGACTGGGTACTATGTGCTACATATAGGGTCTGGTAGGCTGGGTGCTATGTGCTACATACGGGGTCTGGTAGACTGGGTGCTACGTGCTACATATAGGATCTGGTAGGCTGGGTGCTATGTGCTACATATAGAGTCTGGTAGGCTGGGTGCTACGTGCTACATATAGGGTCTGGTAGACTGGGTGCTATGTGCTACATGCGGGGTCTGGTAGGCTGGGTGCTACGTGCTACATATAGGATCTGGTAGGCTGGGTGCTATGTGCTACATATAGAGTCTGGTAGGCTGGGTGCTACGTGCTACATATAGGGTCTGGTAGGCTGGGTGCTATGTGCTACATATAGGGTCTGGTAGGCTGGGTGCTATGTGCTACATACGGGGTCTGGTTGGCTGGGTGCTATGTGCTACATACGGGGTCTGGTAGGCTGGGTGCTATGTGCTACATACGGGGTCTGGTAGGCTGGGTGCTACGTGCTACATATAGGGTCTGGTAGACTGGGTGCTACGTGCTACATACGGGGTCTGGTAGGCTGGGTGCTATGTGCTACATACGGGGTCTGGTTGGCTGGGTGCTACGTGCTACATATAGGGTCTGGTAGACTGGGTGCTATGTGCTACATACGGGGTCTGGTAGGCTGGGTGCTATGTGCTACATACGGGGTCTGGTAGGCTGGGTGCTATGTGCTACATACGGGGTCTGGTTGGCTGGGTGCTATGTGCTACATATAGGGTCTGGTAGGCTGGGTGTTACGTGCTACATACGGGGTCTGGTAGGCTGGGTGCTACGAGCTACATACGGGGTCTGGTAGGTTGTGTGCTACGAGCTACATACGGGGGTTTTACTTGGTGCATTTGTGACAGCTGTTTTACTTGCTAGATTTGTGACAGATGTTTTACTAGTTGCATTTGTGGCAGATGTTTTACTTGCTAGATTTGTGACAGGGCTTTTACTAGTTGCATTTGTGACAGATGTTTTAATCGTTGCATTTGTGACTGATATTTTACTAGCGAGAAAAATGTTGTTGTTGCTGAAAGATATTGATGTTGCGGAAAAATTTCTGTCGTTGAAAGATGTTGATGTTGTTGAAATATGTTAATGTTATTGAGAGATGTTGCTGAAAGATATTGATGATGTTGAAAGATGTTGATGTTGCTGCGTCATGTTTTTTTCAACATGTTCTACAGAAACAAGCTCCACCGCAACATGCAATACACATCACAACTACGTATGTTTCAGTTGAGTTGAAGCTGTTATACACATCACATCTATGTTTGTTTCAGAAGTATTGAAGCTGTTATACACATCACATCTATGTTTGTTTCAGATGAGTTGAAGCTGTTATACACATCACACCTACGTTTGTTTCAGATGAGTTGAAGCTGTTATACACATCACACCTTTGTTTCATATGACTTGAAGCTGTTATACACATCACACCTATGTTTGTTTCAGAAGTGTTGAAGCTGTTCACTGGTCTGATCTACACCGACGCATTAGCTCGCGCCCCCTACGACCCTCGCAATATCAACCACAGCCAACAAGGCGACTCACTCAGATGGACCCTGACGAAACAAGCCGTTGTAACCCGCCAGTTTAACACCACGATAAATGTGGGCAAGTACCATCCGGTCATCGATGGACTCCCGGGGAACCCCCTAAGCCCGGCGAGTTTCCTGGCCTGTGTGGTGCTGGTCTGGGAGCCGAACGCCAACGCCGAACTCTCGTGGAGGTTCGAGAGTTGCAGCGAGGAGAAGCTCAACTTTATCTGCGAGGTCAGGATTCGTGAGGAGAAGGGGGTTAAAGGTCGAGTTAAGCGCTCAGATCACGACAACCCCTATGTACACATGGACCTCATAGGAGACGATAGGAATGAGGGTGATGACGAGTTAGACGATGAGGATATGTATGATGAGGAAGAGGATATATAAGCCTGTTTTTAAACCGAACTCCTTTGTTACATTGACTCCATTTTCTCCATATGTCGTTTGATCACCTTCACCCTACGGCACATCCTGGCACCTCCAGTTTGCCGTCTGCTCGACATAGGTTCAGCAACTGTTACATTTCGCGCATCTGGTCTGAACATTGTCTCCACGTTTTGGACTTATCAAATATTTTTTTATTTGGCTGTGAATTCAAGAAAAAAAAATCTTAAGGGATTTACATTTTGCCCTCGTCACGTTCAAAGTGTATATAAGCACATTAGAGCACGATAAAACGAAACAAAATGTGATGGAGATCAGAGATTGTGGGTGACATTAAGGCGATTGTGGTGGGTTGCTGGGGGGTCAGATACAGACAGCCCCAGTGTGATAGTGATCTAGGTGGGATGTGGAAAACTGCTGATCACAATGGTGACAAGTTTTAGCTTCACGCTAAATACAATAGTGACAAGTTGTTTTAGCTTCACGCTAGAGCATATGTTGCTAAACTCATTGAAGCATCTTTGCTTTGTTTGTCGAAAGCTAAAGCACATAAAACAAGTTAACCTGAGGTTTTACGGACATTTTCTACTCGGATGTTTTCGGAGAATCCACTGTTTAGCATGTGCAGGGTGGGGGAAATGGACTGTGACGGGGATAATCTTAGGCTTTGTTAATCCAAGAAAACATCCACAAATGGTAAAATAGTTAAAAAGGTTCTTAAATAATCCTGACCTACGTCTTAGACTGCACACCATGTAAACAAAGTGTAAATATATTATTTTACAATATAAATTTTGGTTTAATATAATATTTATAATAATTGCTGAGTATTTTTACTATAGTATTTTTTTAAATAATAATTAAAATGTACATTTTTAGAAGTCAGACATTTTTTTTTCCTTTGATCTATTTTCTCAACTAAGTGTAGATTCTTAAACATAGACCAACGTCGTGGTGACCATTAAATTGTAGGTTTCCGAATGACCCAAACAATGACTAACAGCAAGCTGGCTATTAGAATTTAGGTCAATGTTTCATATGGCTTGTATGCACCTTTTAAAAAATATTGACATAGAAGAAAAAATTGCAACATAGACGTGACGTAGTTTGTAGACTACCCCACCTTCCACCCCAAACGATGCTAATACCGCCGAAAGCAATTAGGAATGACGTGATTACTAAGACTCGATGTTGCTAGTTTATGATGGTTATTCAAGATAAAAGATTCAACATAAAATTAGATCACGCAGTGGTGAGGTGTGGGAGATTAACACTCTGTAAACCGGACCGTTAATTCATCCCCTGGTGTCCTATAGAATCTAGACGCCTACAGCTGGGCTTGTCTCAGTGCGAGGTCACGTGACAACAAGGTTGGATCTGTGTGAAAAACCCCTCAACATTTTATGCCGTCCACAGATTAAATTAATTGACAACGATTAACACAGTGGCGGAACTTTAGTGTCGCAATACATTGATTGGGGGGGGGGGGTTAAGGGTCCAAAAACTCTGCAACTAAATATTCTTAAAATAAATATAATGCGGTTACTTAATTTTTTGCCCTCGTTTCAAAAATGATTTTTGAGATACTTGTTTATATATATATATATATATATATATATATATATATATATATATATATATATATATATATATATATATATATATATATATATATATATACTCCGAAAAATTGTTGGCACGTAGGTTTATTTTTTTCTAGTTCCGCCACTGAATTAACCTCTTACTTATTGTTACACATATTAAACTTCTACTAACACTTGACCTACTAACACAAATTATACAAACGTATCTTGTGTATAAGTGTAGTTTGAGTAACAAACAGATGTGCACAAATTATACATTTTAGTTGCATTTGTTTGTTAAACTGGCCATAGACACACACATACTTACACACAAATAATCACGTGCTATAGACACACACACAAATAATCACGTGCTTACACACACACAAATAAGTACGTGCTATAGACAAAAATTATCATGAGTTATAGACATTAAGATATACCACACACAAGCGTCCATACAACTACTTGTTTAAACTTTTCTTTCGTCGTTTCGTTTATTTTCTAAACTATGATTACAATGTAAACATGTCAAAATATTTCGTTATCTCATAATATAATCACTAGTTTTGACGAAAACAATATCTTAATTTGGGTTAGGTTTAAGGAAATGAGAGTGTAGAAGGAAAGGTTTGCTATATTCATGTACTGTTGTCATGTGGGTTAGCCATGTTGATGTACTGATGTCGTGTTAGTTAGCCATGTTGGTGTACTGATGTCGTGTTAGTTAGCCATGTTGGTGTACTGATGTCGTGTTAGTTAGCCATGTTGATGTACTGATGTCGTGTTAGTTAGCCATGTTGATGTACTGATGTCGTGTTAGTTAGCCATGTTGGTGTACTGTTGTTATGTGGGTTAGCCATGTTGGTGTACTGATGTCGTGTTAGTTAGCCATGTTGGTGTACTGATGTCGTGTTAGTTAGCCATGTTGGTGTACTGATGTCGTGTTAGTTAGCCATGTTGGTGTACTGTTGTCGTGTTAGTTAGTCTTGTTGGTGTACTGATGTCGTGTTAGTTAGCCATGTTGGTGTACTGATGTCATGTGGGTTAGCCATGTTGGTGTACTGATGTCATGTGGTTTAGCCATGTTGATGTACTGTTGTCATGTGGGTTAGCCATGTTGGTGTACTGATGTCGTGTTAGTTAGCCATGTTGGTGTACTGATGTCATGTGGGTTAGCCATGTTGGTGTACTGATGTCATGTGGTTTAGCCATGTTGATGTACTGATGTCGTGTTAGTTAGCCATGTTGGTGTACTGATGTCATGTGGTTTAGCCATGTTGATGTACTGATGTCGTGTTAGTTAGCCATGTTGGTGTACTGATGTCGTGTTAGTTAGCCATGTTGGTGTACTGTTGTCATGTGGGTTAGCCATGTTGGTGTACTGTTGTCATGTGGGTTAGCCATGTTGATGTACTGATGTCATGTGGGTTAGCCATGTTGATGTACTGATGTCATGTGGGTTAGCCATGTTAATGTACTGTTATCGTCGATAGTGTCACAACTTTAACTAATTATTGTTAGTACCATTGGCGTCACCAGGTGGGGTTCAAATATGTCAACCCGGGGTGTCCTCTCCCCTCACACATTGTGACGCTTATGGTTAGATCAAGTTTCAAGTCTGAATTATTGTTACCTTAATTAATATGTTGGTGTTGCAAATCAAATATTTTTACTGACTTTCTCACACTTGAAAAATGTTATTTTTATGTTTGTTTTTTCCATGTTAATATTTCAAAACGTTGTTGATTTGAGCAGCATATCATTTTTAAACGCTTTGTAATTAAAGATTTTATTTATATAACCATCATATGATAGTGTTTAAAAACATTTTTGTTTTGTCTCGTTGACTTGTGTAGCATTATGTTACAAGAAAAGTTCTTCAGACAAAATGTCAAGAAAAAGTATGTAACGTCATATCTTGGTTGGACAAAGGCTATGAAAGCAAATCCAAAGAGAAAAGCAGGCTAAAATCTGAGTCAATGGCCTGAATGGCGCATAACAAGTTGGCACGTATACTTAATTGTGTTGGAGGGGATCCCTTCCACTAAAATTAAAAACGAAGAAGAAGATATCTTACTGATTGAATCGGCGAAAAAAATAATTTTAATATTCCATAAATTCGAAAGTGTGTATGACACAGATTTTAAGAAAAACGAAACTTTTTGTGTTGGAGACTGATGATTACATACATCTTTTTAAATGTCTTTGTAATTTTTGTTCATACGGCATTCAGATTGTGTATCTAGAAAGTGAGCTAGAACTAAAAACATAGGTCCCAAATATATATATATATATATATATATATATATATATATATATATATATATATATATATATATATATATATATATATATATATATATATATATATATATATATATATAAACACTATATATTGTTTGTCGAATTAACTTTGATAAGTTAAAATTCGCATTGTTGCACCCTTGCCCCTCCTTGTGATACTAATGGTTGTAAAAAAAAATCGTTATTTTGCTTTCATTTAAAAAAGAACAAGCCTACAGTAGTTTCGCCATGACAGTTGTAGTGGTAGCTTCCGTTCATAGAGAGTGCTTTGTCAGTCTATAAATAAGTCAAACGCCACAGTTTTCGGACGAGAGTTCACGCGACTCCAATGTGACGTCACAATTTTAAACCTATTCCTAGAGAAGCTCTTTTTATTTTTTTAACCATTCAGCTCATGTATATTATATCACATATTTCACTATTTTTACCATTCCCTTTACTTATCATCACAGGGGTCATCCATAAATGACGCCACGCTTTTTCACGAGGTTACCTCCCCCTTCCCCGTCACACGTCGTCACAAAAAGCCAGACCCCCCTCCTAAAATGACATCACACCTCAGCCTACGACCCCCCCCCCCCCCCCTCCTCAAAATTGCAATTGAATATTTCTAAAAATACGATATTTTTCCAAAATCTTGTCTGAACTCTGTCAACATAGAGTATTTTAATCATTTCCTATTACAATTTATTAAAACAGTTTTCTAAAACGCGAAATAACGGCTAAAATTTGTTTTCTAACATTGCTTTTTTTATAATGCAAAAGTGTGATGTCACACCATCTGAACCCCCTTCCCCCCCCCCCCCTCCTCTCCGTCTCCCTTATCACACACCGTCACAAAATTACGGATCCCCCTCCCTCCTACGAGTGTGATGTCATTTATGGACGACCCCACACATTGTCACAAATATTCAACCCCTACCCCATCTAAAAATGACGTCACTCTCTAGCACACTCCTTCCCCCCAATTTCTTTCTTTAAAAAATAACTTACATCAGTCAAAATAAGGAACAGCCATACATTTTTATAGCAGTTTATAATAAATATTTTTAACAAATGAAAATTAACTGCAAAATTCCTGTACGAAAAATTATTTTAAAAATTACTTGTTAAAAATATAAGTCATAACATTTACCTTAATTTTTTTTAACTGTATACAATATAACTATACAATGTTATATAATCTAGATCTATTTGTTTTCTTATTTTGTTATAAAATAATCTCGGTTGACACCCAATCAGTATTATTTTTTATAGGACTTATCAATGCTAAAAATATTGACTAATAATCCTATCTGGTATATACAAATTGCATGAATACATAGGCTTATACTTTGGGGGTTGCCCTTATGTAGGGCAAGAGTAGCTAAATTGGGGCACCGACCCTAATGGTATTTGAACTACATTACTGTAAAAAGTGTCTGAATTTGCCCTCCGACAACAAAGAGCAATTCGGCTGCATTTCAAACCATGACTGAAGCAGAAAATGAATTGCTATTGCTATCCTGTCCTGTAGATTTTTATTTATTTTTTTTTGGCAATTTTTATTTTTAATTTACCATTTGGAAAAAAAAGTGCTTTGTTTTTTTTTTAATGCCCTCCCTTTGGTTAATTTTAACAGTGGTTTGTTTGGCTGCTTGTCTCCCTTGAATTGACTTGTTTGTATCAATGCTGTCATTTGGCACGCGAACACGTCAAAATCTGGCATCGAAAATGGTTGTTAATGTTTTCATTAGAGTTGACAGCGCACAACTGGCGCGGGACAGGGGCGGCGTTGTGCTGACAGATCAACATGTTTTTGTGGAGAGTCTGGTTCAAGGTTCACTCGTACGCTACCCTATGCACATGCCCAAAGCGCGTGCCATTAAACAACACGAGAGGAGCGCTAATTACGCTTTTTTTTGTTGCCAGTTTTTTGGGGAATTTTTTTTATATATTGCTACTAAAACTAGATCTATTATTTGTGTCCTGTTCGTAGCGACAATCTAGCAAAGATTCGCGTCAATTAATGAGCTAAAAACTAATTACCATAGCACCGGCGACACCCATGACGTGAAATGCTGGTTCCTCGGCTAATCAATTTTCCGGTAATTGAATATTTTTCAGAATAAAAATAATTGAGAGTTAAAGCAATGGACACGATGACCAGACAATCAAAGAGGTCAGTTCGAGTTACGTGGTCAGTACAGCCATCAAATTCAAGATTCCAACATGAACTGGATTGAACAGCAAAATCAGTTAATTAACAGTAGGCTTTGCTGTGGGTTTTAAAAGTATTTACTACAATGCCAAGCTTAAGCCAAGCCCCTCCCTCCTCCACACATAGATCTACATAGCTTACTAGTCAGATCAATAAAAAAAATTACATTATGGGTAAACCAACACTATTGGTTAGCTCTTTGCACCTGGTCAGGAGAACAGTTCAATAATTAAATTACCTGATAGCACATGATTGGTAATTCATGTGCATGAAAAGAGGCATGGTACAATAGCCAATGTGTGCAATAGGTAATTAAACCTACAAGTTTATGATGCACTTAAACTGTATGTTAATGTTAATTATTCAACTCAATTAAGAAAAAGAAACCACCAATCATTGACAACTTTACACAGAAACATAGAAAGAGGGGTTATGATTGACCTCTTATGGCTTTGCCATCTACCTTCAGTTTTAGAATCAAAAACGTATTTATATACACATGATGAACAAAAACAAACACTAAAAATTTAATTAAAACTTTTAATTTATACATAAATTTCACAATGGAAATCAAGCAAACCTGGCAAATGAAAAATATAAAATTGGGTTAAAACACCAACTCCAGAGTTAAAGTTTTCATTCACTGGAGACTACAAACACCTTAAAGTTTTTTCAACACAACTTTTCAAATATTGTTTTGTTGACCAGCATAATAACCAGTCAGTATCCTATTTTAATGGTAAATATATATATATGTAAAGGATATGCCAAGAAATGGGGATCTACTTAAATAGCATAAAACATACTTGATTTGTAGAGATCTCAGTTTACCTTCTAGTAATGTTTTCATGAATTTAAAAAGGGTGGTGGAATGTTCTACAAGAAAACAAAAATAATATATATATATATATATATATATATATATATATATATATATATATATATATATATATATATATATATATATATATATATATGAACTATTCTTAAGGAGTCAATCACTTTAACTTTATCTTTCCTTCACCCCTTGAATATCAAATGCCATAGCTTGTATTAAGGAATTCTGCCTATCACAATTTTCCAGGTGTTATCAACATATACCAATGGATTTACCAGCCTGTATCAACACATCAACAAGAGAACCTAGCATCCCTTGTGTCATTGCATTCATGATATCTAACATTGAATTTACAAGGTGACCATAGTGAGTACCCAAAATACTATTTCTACACTATTGTGTTGTGCTATAGAAAAAAACAACTTTAAAATAAAATAATATCAAAACCCATTTTAAATGACTAAGAGCAAAGTAAACCAGTATAATAAAAATCATAGTGAAAGTACATAAAAATATTTGCATAACATGAGAATGGGTTAAAGGAGGCAGGCTGTAACTATAAAATTATTTTTAGATTCAAACACTATGATACAATTTTAAAATAGAATAAAAATTGAAATCTCAATTGTCAAAAAAAATATCAAAACTCTGGCCAATCAAATGCACAGGAAAATATGAATAAAGTTTCACAACACATCTATTTAGTGCCAACACATTATTGAATCAAACACTTCAAACTTTATTTTAATAGTAAAACTTTAATTTGTTAGAAAATTATCAATGCATTCTTAACTGTTATCTTTAGCTACATGGAGACTTTCTAAACTTTTTGTAAAAAATTTTTTTTGGTTTAATAGCATCATTTATAAAAAAAAATAACTATCATTTAAATGAGAAAGAATAAGTAATAGAAGTTTATCTCATTAAAATGCCATGACAACTTTTACATTTATTTCATTTGAAAAGTTTATTTTATTATTGTAATTAGATAAATACATTTTACCACAACATTGCTCTCTAATTTTACAGATTACAACTTTTTGAAACTGTAGTTTCTTTCAACAGCTGATAACAGTTTGTAACAGTTATACCAGAAAATAAGTTGTGGTAGACAAAAACAATAGGTGGGATGTTTGTGCATACAATCTTGAATACAGTACAAAATAGTTGTTTCGTGTTTTACAATGGATTACTATTAAGAAAAAAATATTCCCTGAAACAAACTAACACAGATATATATTGTGTTAGTTATTTCTTCTTTAGTTTTGTGTCAAAAAAAATATTATAGATGTGAAAAACTGAAAAATATTAAGAATTTTCAAATGTCACTATGTCTACAAAAGTAAAACAAATTACTGTAGTATAATTATGAAAAAATTATAACGGATTTCAGTAAGATATGCCCATTTCAACAAAATTTATATTATGTTTTAAATCCTGATATAAATTTAACTACTCGATATTCATGTGAGGTTGAAAATGTCAATTTTGTACATAAAAATAAATAATACTTTGAAAGTCAAAATTTTAGATTTTCACACTTAAACTTTTTTTCCGAATGAAACAATCTCTTTGTGATTATATGATAACCGATTTTTTTTTGTAAAAAAAAATAATTTCACTGACTTAACTGCAGGATCTCTGAGAAGTTCAAGATTAATTATTGGACAATTAAACCAGACCAACAACTTGTCAGACAAAATTAGCCAAATTTGATTGACCACAATACACATTATTTACTGCGGTCAGCATCTAGCTAATTACCAAATCTTTTAAATTCAATTAAACTTAGCATTTATTAAAATTTACGCCTAAAATGTTCAACATCAACATAAACCAGTCTTAGCTGATTTAAAAAGTTGACAAGATTGTAGCCATGTTGATCCACTGCTAAGAGCCAAATACTATAATTGTTGTTCCGTAATTTATGCATCTAAATTAAAAAGTTTACATAGTTGTGCATGAGGGGATATGGAAAAACTTTGGGCCATGGCTTTAGGGTTGAAGCAGTTTTAAAGTATATTTTAGCACAACTCATTAATAAGCTTAATGACAGTCTAAACATCCTTAACAAAACACATGTCTTTATTATCATTTTAAAGAAATAATGAAACAGTATTTTAGTATAAAAATGCTAATTAGTTAAGTACTTTCACTAAAACATGTAAAATGTATCAAAATGTACAATTCATGTAGCAAAAAAGAAGAATAAAAACAAAAACAATTTTCAAATGTGGCCTTTGTCCTAAGGTCTTTTGTAGGTGTTTTATAATTTGAATAGAAAATAACTATTGACAGGACAAGTTGGTCTGGTTTAATTCAAGCTTTAAATAGCATTTTCATTCTTAAAACTAAACTAAAATTGAAAATAATATCATTTTCTATTTTACATGAGTAATAAATAAAACCTTGTCTGAAGTGTGTTTCTGAAGTTGATGAGGGGTGGGGGCTAGCATTGATATCATTGCTTGACTACAATATCATGCCATACATTGTGGAGAAAAATATTATGAACAAAAAGCAAATGGGTTTTTTTTTGTAACTTTAGTCTTTAAAAATATCGCGATACATGATTCTTTGTTCAAATTTTTGGAATTAACTTCATATACACTGTAGCATAAATATCAATTGGAGTTATATTTTTTTTATTAATTACAAGTGAGACTTGATAATTAGAAAGTGTACAGTAACCATGTTAATTAAACATGCCTTACACTCGCAGCCCTCCACCAATCACCTCATTCAGTGTGTGGTACTGGTGCTCACTTCTTGTTCGACAGACCAGGATACAGGTACTGATTAATGCCAGGAGCTGAAACATCAATTTAGTACATCATTTAAACAATTTATAATACGTCATTTTCATTATATTTTAACACATTTACCTTAGTAACAGATTAGCAGTTAAACATTTCACTTTAAAATGTGTAACATTTAATTTCACATGATTTATAAAATTATTAACATCATTTAATCAGAAAAAAATTCCAAGCACCAATATAATTTAAGTAATGGATTTAGTTCCTCTTAGATCCTAGTAGTTTAAACATTTTTTTTCACTGTGATTTTTGTAATTTTAAAATTCATTTAATAATATTGACTAATATTTTGTTCAACAGTATAAAACCAGAAATGTAAATTTATATTTGAAAAGACTTGCCTGTATCACTGCAAGAAATACAACAGATGTTGCTATGTACACCAAATTTTTTCGGAATTGATCATTCAGCTCATTTAAGCAACCCTAAATAAATAAAAACATTTGTTGACGGATTTAAAGAAACAAAAGAAAGAAATTACCCAAAAAAATCAGGCATTAGAAAATTAATAAGTTGACAATAAAAAATAAAAACCAGCTATGAGTTCCAGAAGATAATGGGGAAGTGAAGTAGAGTTCACTTGTTTCTGTGACCTCGGCATATGAAGAGATAGTGTGGTCAGCACTATGCCCAGCCACCTTTACTCTCTCTAACGTGAGTTAGGTACCCATCAGAGTTGGGTGGACTCAGGGACGGTCTACTGACTTGAACCCGGATTCGAACTCGAGACTTACGGGTTAGCAGTCCAGCTCTCTACCGCTAGACCACTCCGTCCCATAATTGTGCACAATAATCACATGTAATTTTTACAGTTTTCAGTTTTACACCTCAGTATTTCATCAAATGCAGAGTATAGGGGACTTATTTTAATTGGGCAAAAATTCTAAATCCAGATTTTATCAAAATTTCTGCATTACACACGTTATCGAGTCGGAAAAAATTAATTTTGCAATCTTGTCTGTGTGGTTGTGTCACTGTGAACACGATAACTTGAGTATCGTTACATCTAGATTGAAGAAATTTCAAGTATTACATCAAATTTATAGTTCTGTAATCAACTTTTCAACGGATTCCGGTAACCAGAAGTGGAACTTATTCTACTTTCCAATTTTCAAAAGCCTAAAACTTGAGTACTGTTTCTGATAGACAAAATTTCACATACAAGTATTCTGTCAAATTTTGAATAATTTCTGTGATTGGAACAAGTACTTTATGTTATTTCCAATTTCTCAAAAAACGCAGATGAATTTATAAAGTACTAATGTTCACACTATTATGAGATTCTATTCTATTTTAAAATGTTTAAGTACATAAAAATTGATTAAAAAGCATGTCTATATCCCGAGTTGCCACCCCCCACAGTGTTAAGAAAGTTTACTGGGGATCACTCCCGCTTTATTACTTACCTTATTGAAAATGGTACTTGAACCCAAAATTGGACTGCAAGTTGCATTTCCAATGTCAGTTTTACAGCAAGACAGAGGAACTTCTTTGGTATGATTCTGCTTCCAATAAGCAGATTTTTCCCAGTCTGTAGCATTGCGAACTCCACAGCATTCGAACTTGAATGCAAAAATAATGTATATATTAGTTGCTTTGTTTTTTTTATTCCAAAAATATACCTACACAAGAAATCAACTAGAAGGTAATTTAATTTCTATTTTCAGCCTAAACAAAAATTTTGCAAGAGACAAAAACAAAAATTTTGCAAGAGACAAAAACAAAAACTTTGCAAGAGACAAGCAACAAGCTGAGTGGAACTCACCTCTGTCTGCATGTAGTCAATTTGTTCCTTGTTAACCAGGATATTATACTTGTCTATTGCTTCCATCAAATCATCTTCCAGGATACCTTCAACCTTATAAGTTTAATTTTAAACAAAAAATTTTAATTTTAAAAAAATGACACTACAAAATGTACCTGTTGACATTTATTTTCAATTTTAAAAATTGTGAACATATTTTTGGGTAAATTGTGTAAATCAATTTTCGTGTTCTTTAAATCAAACAATTTTTTAATTTTTTTTGAGCTGGTTGAATACAATGTCAAGCATCATAAGTTATTTCCTGTAACAAATACAAAGTGCATCACATACCTTCTTTCTATAAATATATCCCAAGACACCAGCCAATACTTCACCAACAAATACCAGAAGTATCAAACAGAAAAACTGGAATCAAATGTTACAAAATTTGTTTATGTTATATATGATGATGTTAAATAATAACATCTTTAATTAATACTTAAAATTGCATATTTTAGAAGCTATACATGATTCAAAAATAAAGTAATAAAAATGTAAATTAGCAGCGTCTTAATTCAGGTTCTATTTCTGCATAGTAAGGTCTCCTTAATTAATACATTTCTTAGTTCTGATTGATATTGTTCCAAAATTGTTAATATGCAACTTTTGCAAGTTACATATAAAATGATTGTGGAAAGTAAATTATTAAGTATTCCGTTCTTTAAGCTGATCTTACCACTGAAAGCAGAACCTTGTTGTTCTTGAAAGCTGCAATACATGCCAAGATGCCAATGATGCACATAACCACACTAACTCCAAGAATGATACTTGCAGGCAGGAGTGTCAATGAAGCATCAGCTATTTCATCAAAGTGATCATATGTGCTGAACACCCATATTCCTATGTATGACAAGCACCCAGCTGAGATCTGGAAGCATATTTTTACAATTATTAGTTAAATATGAAATAACGATGCTGAAAAATGTTGAAAATAAAACTACTTTGGTTAGAAATGTTCATTTTGTATGCAGATAAAATTACATTATTTTTTATGCAAGCAAAAAGGATTTTAATTAATAATCAAGTTCTTTAGTTAGACCCTATTCAATTTTTTTTTTTAATTAACAATACAGTATTTGTATTTGAATATTACAAAAATGTATAAGCACAGGAAGTGTCTGAAAGCAACTTACCAGATAACATACTCCAGTAAACATCAGTATACCCTTTGCCAAATTACTGCACATTGTATTATCTCTAGCCATTTTTTAAGAGTACAGTGGACAAATTACTAAGTGACTCTAACCTCTGTTTATAAAATAGAAAAAAAGGATAATATTAATCTCATTCTACAAGACTTATTCATTGCCGGAGTTGAATTAGAAATTTCAAAATTGGGATGAAGATTATAATTAGGCCTATAGTCGTCAATAAAAGCATGTTGATGAATAGGTCATTGGTATTGGTTGAGCAAAATCTTACAAAGTTCCTCTACCTTCTTAGCCTTCTACTTTACTAGATAGACTTACTGACTTAACTAATAACTAAGTTACACTAGAGTGACTAGAGTCACTAGATCTAGATTTTCTAGAATGAAATATCATTAGATGACTTGAAGGGATCGGCGTGGTAAAGCTCATGGTTGATAAACCGAAAAGTCTCGAGTTCGAACCCTCAGGCAGATGAGGCTCGTTAGCTGGGGACAGCCACTCCAAAATCAAACAACTGCTGCCTTGTAGATTGGTCTTGGTTGGACAACGGCTATGGAAGCAAATTCTGCAAATCCAAAAAGAAAAGCAGGCTGAAATTAGAGTCAATGGCCTCAATGGCACATAACCAGTGGACAAGTATCCTTAAATGTGATGGAGGCAAAAGCTCATGGTTGATAAATTCGAAAAAGTCTCGAGTTCAAACCCTCTGACAGATAAGGTTCAATCCCATCCAACACTAAAAATTACGAACAAAGAAGAAGAAAGATGACTTGAACTTCTCTTATACTAATATATTATAACTTATAACTAACTATACCTTAACTAACTAAATTTAATTTAGGCCTATAGGCCTAGATAGAACCTGGAATTATTTAGGCCTACGTACTACGTACTTAATTAATAATTTTAATAATTTAATACTAGATTAGATACTGATACTCTTAACTTCTAGATTCCAGATGAATGAAAAAAATTGAATGAGATTCTCTAAGTCTGGATTTAACATTAATTTTAAAATTTTAATGCTTCAAAAGCTAAGTCAGATCTAGATAGCTAGACTGCTAGAGTCTAGCTAGATCTAGAATCTAGACACTCCATTTCAGACCAGTAGATTGTAGATCAGTGACCAAGTCAGTAGTCAGGTAACTTAAGTAAAATGTTTGTAAGACGCTACACTTGTGACTTTACTTACAGTTTGAGTTTACAGTTCAAAGTGTAATGAATAGGCCTAGATCTAGATCTAAATCTAAATATTACTAAACAATACTAGATCTAGATCTAGACTAGATCTAAGAATCTAAATTTAAAAAGTTGAAGTTAAAGAAAGTCAAAGTCATTGTCATTAAAGAATAGAAAAATAACTGGTAGATCTAGAATGAAATAAATCTGCTATTTTTTAAACTAGATCTAATAAATCTAGAAACTAGCCTAGTCTGTATATATCTAGAACGTAACAGATCTAGACTCTAGTACCTAACAACAACAGTTTATTATGCTTACACCCCTGGGCTTGATTGATAATTAAAAAAATATGGCTATGAATTCGTCATTCGATTATTTTCGATGTTGATCTTTAGATCTACTTCCGCTGGGCTATAAGGTAGGTAGGCCTAAGCAATGCATTTGTGAGAAGTATCGTTAATTATACGTTGCAAAAAAACTTTTAAATCATAATTTTTAAAAGTCATTTTTTATATATTATTTTTTATTATTATAGCTATTTATTATAAACAAATATAATTTTGTTTCTTTCTAGATTCTAGATCTAGATCTATATTATTGAACAGTAATCTATTACAATTCGAAAACATTTTATTATTATTATTATTTAGGCCTAATATTATTACTACTACTTCCACTCTACTACTACTACTACTACTACTACTACTACTACATTTTATATTTATTTAACAGAACTTTAAAATCTTCAAAGCTTTTATTGAATGTTAACCTAGAATCTATATCTATATATATATATATAAAACACCTATATAAATAAAGGCCTATAGACATGTAGCCTATATATATTATGGTGCTTTTTCTTTAAACGCAATAGAACGCTGTTTCACTATTTTTAAGATACATACATTTAAAATTCTAGAGAATGTGTAAAATATTGTTTTTAATGAGATCAGCGTTCTATCATCTTTTTCACTACTAGATTCTAGTATCATATAAAACCATAAAAGCCATAAACTCATAAATACATGCGCAACTGTTGTTGTGCGTCTTTAGTTAGCCATGTAAGGGGTCATCCATTTATGACGTCCTCGTGGAGGGGGGGGGGGGTCCAAAAAACATCAACTTGTGTTGATTGGGGGAGGGGGTGGTCGGGTTCATGTGGACGTTCACATGTTGAATTTAAAATCGACGTGTTTACAGTTTAAAACAAACATAAAAACCATATTCTGCATGTAAAACGTGAAAATAAAACAACATCGCAGCGTGTAAATAAAGCACTGGACTTAACCTACACCGGGGTCATTTATAAAATAAGTAATTTAATATATGTAACGATGTTTACATCCCAAGACCCAGCACCTAAAATGACGCCACTCCTCAGCCTACCACAACTCTCAAAACTGTTATATTGTTTTTAAAAACAGCAATTTTTTTTTTTTAAATATGGTCAGCGTTGAATATGCCTTGATTGGTTTTCATTGGAGTTTTTAAGAAAATCAACTACATGAAGCAACGGCTTTATTTCGGTTTCTAACATTATTGCAAAGCGTGTCGTCACACGTTCTGAAATCCCCCTCCAGTCCCTACGGAGTGTGAGGTCATTTATGGACGATCCCTAATAAAAATAAATAACACCACTTTGGAAAGCGAGCGATTAAGTAAACAGAAATAGAAGCTATGAGCTCTATGAGACCTTGCGACTTATTATGTCATAAATGCTAATATTAACCACTAAAATACCTTCAACGAGTACGGAAAATAATACTGTGTAACAAGAGAATTATACTGTGTTCGCACCCTCCCCATCCTCCACTAAGGGTTAATACTGTGCACGCGTTTTTTTGTTGGTAATGGGGAAAATCCTAGACTTTTTTTTTTGTATATATAGGCCCTACTTTGACTTTTAAATTAAAACCCACTCATTTTTCTCTCCACAGGCTACATTCTAGTAGAATTTCTACTTTTAATATTTACGCCTAATAATAAACAGTATCGAAAATATTAAAGCCGTGTATCAGTAAATAGGTAGGCCTACACAATATGTTACTGAAATAGAAAATTGGTAGTAAGTTTTGAGAGGGCTAATAAATTTTTGTGGACATCCACAATAGGGGGGGGGGTCCCAAACTTTTTCGAGTGGCGACCCCCTTTTATAAAAAGTAAGTGGCCCGCAACCCTCATAGAATAGAATTAGAAAGTTGAAATGATTGAGAACAACTTTGCTCAGTACGCATTGTTTCTTCTTTATTCCATTTCATTTCCAGTGATGTTAGTAAAGCCGAATTTCAGATATTATTCTAAATATTTCGTTTTTCTTTTTTCATTGCTAAGGTTTAGTCTATCAGTTAATGACTCCACAGAGAGCCATTCGCGACCCGGCCCCACCCCCTCCTCCCGGGAGTCGCGACCTCAGTTTGGGAACCCATGATCTAGAATCATGACGTCAACGACTGAGTTTTAAAAGGGGAAACTACTCTAAATAAATTTGTATTAAAGGTGTTGCTAATAATTTTTTGCCAATCAACATGTCGTCAAGTTTGCAAATGAATCGGAAAGTCGCTGTAATTACTGGAGCAAACACGTATGTTGATATAGATCTAATCTAGATTCTAGATGTATCTATTATCTATCATATCAATACATTAACAGTCTAGAGTTTAGTCTATATCAGAATCTAGATCTAGTAGTTCGTAGACTAGGTTAGGTCTATGTCTAGGACTAGGTCTACGACTACGTCTAGTATACCGGCTACGTCTGACTACGACTATTAAAATTATTAAAATTAATCAGTTTAAACTTTAGTCAATCAATTTGAAGTAACTAGTTACTAGATCTAGTGTAGATCAATCTTCAAGAAGATTCCATTATCCGACACCTATATAAAAGTTTAAATATTCGGTAATCTATCGTTTTGGGTACGTAAAATCGCCCGCGGCTATTAATGTACGAAAAAGTTACCTCATTGTCAAGGCTTTAGTAGAAGTATATTGTGATATATTTGTGTCAAATATTATAGATAAATGAATAATAAACCTAAATCAATGGCTAAATATATCAATATATGCCAGAAATTAACTTTAAACAGCAGTGTTTGCGAGCAAGATTTGCTATATAAACAGCAGCCATTTGTAAAATAGAGTGACTTCCGCCTGTCTCGCGCTATATCCGCTATAAAAAAAACTTAAACAAGATGGCTGCTATAGTAAATGAGCATGGTTGCATCTGTTGGAAATATCGCTAGTCTTCATTTATTACTGAAAAGTTTTAATTCAATTGTTTAAAAACAGGTACATAAATGAAAGAAGGAAACATTTTTGTATTTTTCAAAACATAAATCCTCCTCAAAATGTGAAATAATTATTAAAATTTAAGGAGTCACCTGTTTTTCACATTACTAGTCGCGGGCGATTTTACGTACCCAAAACGATAGATTACCAAATATTCTCCCAATATTAGATTTAGATTATTTTAGATCTAGAATTCTAGATTAATCTAGATTCTAGATCTAGTCTAGAGTCTAGTTACACTAGTCACCTAGTGAACTAGTGACTAGTCACTACACTACAGTGCTAAACCTTTCACCTAATTTGAAGTTTCAATCATGACTAAAGTCGCATTTAGAGTTTCTTTCAGTTACTCTACCGCCATCACCCCCCCCTCTCCCCCCCACACACACACATGCACACATACCCCAAAGCACACGTCCCATTCAATGAAATAAAATTTATATTAAAAATACACTTTTTAAAATTTAATCACAATTTCTTGATAAAATAAGAACCACAAATGTTACTTAATATTATTACTAATAATATGAGGCCTACTTAATTTTAAACTAAACTGTCTTAAACTGATGTCTAGTCTAAAGTAATGAATAAAAGAATTTAAAATTGAATTATAGAAATACGAAATACAGTCTAACATTGTCTAATATTATATTTTAGAGGCATAGGATACAGTTTGGCAGAGAAACTTGTGAAAGCTTATCCCACAATAATACTCTGTTTAGCTTGTCGGAGTAATGAGAAAGCCAAAGAAGCCGCAAAAGGTTTATCAGAATTGAGCTCAGAAGCTAGAATTGATATTGTTATTGTGGACACATCAAATGTAGATTCAGTATACACTGCTGCTGCAACATTACGAGAAAGGTAACTTTGATGTTTTATAAAAATTGTATTCCATTTCTGTCTGTAATAGCCATATTATGTATATTTACTAAAAAGTAAAGTTAAGAATTTTGCTTTGTTGATTTGTTCCAACCTACTGTTTTAAATCAAACCCACAGATATAATCACATAGATTATTTGTACCTTAATGCTGGAGTTATGACAGTCAGAGGTGTTGACTGGAGCCATTTTTGGCAGGGACTGTTTTCAAAGTAATTTTTTACTATTATTTAATAATCTATTATCTGTAATTATTCTGAAAAATACAACCAATTTAATTCATAATCAATTAATATTCACTAATTCGCACCCTTTTTTTGAGAGATTTCTTCATTAGGGGGAAGCAACTCCTTTGATTTGTCACATTAAATAGAATCTGTTGCTTCCCCTATCTATATATCAAAGTAGATTTGGCATCAGGACATGATACTTGAATACAATTAAAATACTATTTCATTCTTGTCTCTTTCTAGACGAATATTCTACATGTTCACCACTGGAGAAGGTTTACTAATACAAGAAGATGGAGCAACAAAAGATGGCCTGATGCATGTTTTTCAGACAAATGTTTTTGGCCATTACATGCTGGTATTATTTTAAATGGGAAAACATTAATATAACATCAGTTTTAATCCTATGCCTAAAAATTAGTTTTATAATCCTTAAGAAAGTTACTTAGAAGGGTCATTACCTTATAATAATTTAAAAAAAATGAAATATGTAAAATACCAAAAATAAACTTCTGCATGTTTTAGTGAAAGATCTGCAAACTTTTTTTCCCTCTAGATAAAAGAGCTTGAGAGTCATCTGGGTAATGTTTCAGAAAAGAGTTGTTCCCCATCTCAGTTAATATGGACCTCATCTAGTGCTTCGCAACGTGATGCATTTAGTTATGAAGATTTCCAGCATAAAAATGGGTAGGAAGATAATTCAGCATTGACTTTATTGAAGACATTTAAGGCAAAAGAAAATAATTCCTTAAATATAAAAATATATGTGTCCATAATTATTATATTTAAAATATTCAAATAAAATGTATATCATATAACTAGTGTCTCGTGAAATAAATATCCTCCAGCAGTAAAGCTAGCTTAGAGTTGTTACATTAATCACATAATATATTTTATGTTGCTTCATTATATACCTCCAAAATGATTTAGGTCACTCCTCCCTTTTAGTAATGTATGCTAAAACAATATTCAAATAATCCTCATTTAAATAAGACTACATCCTTCAATTTTTCAGGTAATATGGTTTTGAATAGAAAGCAATCGTTAGAGCAATAATATACAAATTATATATAACAAACTTTAGCAATAACACTAATTTCTAAATCTAATAAATAATTACATTTAAGCCTTAAACTTGTATTAAAAACTACAATTATTGAGGTAATTATCTTCAAGAGTCCCAATCAATGATTTTTTTTTGTTTCTTTCAACAGTAAAGATCCATACGGCTCATCTAAATTTGCTATTGATGTTGTTAGTGTTGGTCTTAACAATAGGCTCAATAAACAGGTAACTAGTCCAGGAATATGCACATCAAAAATAATAATTTTTTTATATTTTATCTAATAAATCTAAACACTTATCATGGGAAATAGGGTGGGATATATGTATGCGTACCTGTGTGTGTGCGGAGCACAGGGAATAAACCACAATTGCCTTTTTTCTACTTTCAAGAAAGATGACATTTTGTGTTAGAGATTCTTTGATGTGCTATTGTGTCATGATTTTAAAGTCCTAAATAGTGCAGGGACTGATATGGTTTTACGTCATCATATTGTTATACATGGTAGATATGCACTAGTACTACATGAACAGGGCACTAACTCAAAAATTTTAAAAGATGGTCATTTGTAGTTTTTCTTGTGTGGCCTTGATATATAAATATACACACACATATATACACATATGTATACACACAAATATATATACACACACATATATATATATATATATACACACACAAAAGCATATATGTATATATATACATATATATGGACAAGGTTTTATTTGTTTGCTTGTTTTTTAAATTAACTGGCCTTGCAGTATATTCCGAATATGTGGTTGGTGGTAGGTTTGAGCGGGCCAGACTTAAAATGCCCACTTCGACTCTTCATTTTAAAACAAGTTTTTAAAAAAAAATTGTTTTAACACACTTGAATCAAAAAGAGAATTTTTAGACAACTACACATTCTCATTTACTTAATAAATGTATAGCCGGTATTAACAATTCTATTAAACAGCTAGTGTACATTGTATAAAATATCATTTTTTTTTTGTAGTTCACAAATATTGAATAATCTATTTTAAAATGAGTTTACCACTGTTTCAAGAAAATAGGAATATTAATAAAAAAAAAATATATATAAAATCTGCAATACTTTTAAACCTCCTCATTATGGTTGTTTTTCTGATATTTACAGGGTGTGTATTCCCATGTTGTTTGTCCTGGTCTGGTCATGACAAATATGACTTATGGAATCCTACCTCAGTGGTTTTGGACCCTTGTTTTCCCCATTATTTGGCTAGTAAGTGTGCTTATGTTTTACGCCAACTAGATTTGTCATTGCTACTATTATTAAACTTTTTTTTTGTAGAAAAATTAAAATGTAGATGCAATGAAGATAAAAACAAATAGAACCTATTAGTTTTTTCACTTGTGCAATCTGAATGCAACTTGAAGGAATTTTTTTTATTTTCTTTCAGCTTAGGTTTTTTGTTCCTAGTATGACTAACAGTGCATCCAATGGTGCTGAAGCTTTGGTTAGTATGTAAAAAAAAGTTTTTACCAATAAGCTGTATACAAACTAGTTTGTAGTACTATTCAAAAATTTAAGTTTTATAAACCTATATGCATATATTATGTATATATATATATATATATATGTGTGTATATATATACACATGTATACACATGTATACAGACAAATATATATATATATACATACACATATATGTGTGTATATATGTGTGTGTGCATGTATATATATATGAATATATATATATGAATATATATATATATATATATATATATATATATATATATATATATATATATATATATATATATATATGGTGTGTATATATGTATATATAGGCCTATATATATATATATATATATATATATATATATATATATATATATATATGTGTGTGTGTGTGTGTGTGGTATTTTCTAAACCACTATTTGACTACACTGTGCACACACATTTTTTTAAATGAACTTTAGTATTACGTGTTTAAATACTTGCAGTGTAGACTTAACAATCTCTCTCTCTTGTCATGATGGGTTGAGATAGCTAATCTGATACAGCAAACACTTCCTTGTTCTCTTTGTCAATATATTCCCAAAATAAACATCCAATTCTAGAGAACCACGGTAGCTTTTTTTAAAAAAATAGATTTTGTATTGCTGGTTTTAAGTCCAGTGGGCGTTGGTTTGTTGTTGTTATAACAGGAAGTTGTGGATATTGATAGGCTGGTGATAACAGCTTGTTCTGTTTACATTTATTATGGATTATTCAATATGGCTTATGGTAAATGGGGATATGCCTCACAGGGTCACTGTGTGGTCTACTGGGTCAATAAGTTTCCTGCTGTTTTAATCAGACAAAAAAAAGTTCTTTGTGGGGTCACTCAGCTGAGGGGGGGGGGGGGGTGAATTTCGCAAGTAGTTAACTGAGTGGGGCGTTGGGGAAGGACATTTCACACTGGCCACTTATTGGAACACAGATGTGTTTTCTAATGAGATCCTGCTCTACCATTGTGTTGAGTTGTGTAATGTCAGGAAGAAATTGTTTCCACTTTACCTATCTATGTCCCATATGCTAAGAAGTATCTGTCATGTGGTTGAAATATTTTGTCTTGCTTTTGTTTCACCACTTGTATCACTTGTTTGTAAATTTTAATAATCTAACATGTAAAATACTTTGTATTTTAAAATAACAGAACTCTATGTGATAGCTGTGTTGTTGTAAAACCTTTTTTTTTTTGGTCCCATTGTTTACAAAATGCTCATGTTGAAAAATTCTCATTTTGGAAAATTCTCATGTTGGAAAATTCTCATGTTGGAAAATTCCCATGTTTGTGAGATATTTGTCGCCAAGTTACAGTAAACAGATATAGAAGATTGCATCACCTGCATAAATCAACAAGGAAGCTATAGATAGAACATTTGCTTAGTTTGTATGTGAGTGTTGGCCTAAGCTAACCTGTGTCAACATTCCTCCATATTTAACTTCTTTTCTGGAGAGGTTACCTGTCTGCTCTCTTGGTTTTCATAGCAAATGTTCTATACCATATTATAACTAACCAAAGCTCAGGAACCAGTTCTTTGGATCTCTTAATATCTATAACAAAGATGTTCAGTCTTCTATTAACTTCCTTTTGCCCACATTAAGTGTTCATTAAATTTTTAAAATTATCTCCCTTGCGCTTATCTACTTTTATATTAAAGTAACTCCTGTGTGGATGAGATAGTACTTTTAGTTTTGTATCTGACTGGAGATGCTTTGATAATTCACCAATAAATTAATAGAAAAGTCCTTGTTTCCTCAGTAACAGAAACATTTCATTAAATGTTCCTTCTTCTTCTTCGTTCTTAATTTTTAGTGTTGGGAGGTATCGAGCCTTATCTGCCAGAGGGTTTGAACTCGAGACTTTTTTCGAATTTATCAACCATGAGCTTTGCCGACTCGACCATGCTTCCATCACAATTAAGGATTACGTGTCAACTGGTTATGCGCCATTGAGGCCATTGACTCCGATTTCAGCCTGCTTTTCTTTTTGGATTTGCTTCCATAGCCTTTGTCCAACCAAGAACAAACTACAAGGCAGCAGTTGTTTGATTTTGGAGTTGTCTCTCCTAGAAGAGTGGCTGTCACCAGCTATCGAGCCTCATCTGCCCGAGGGTTCGAACTCGAGACTTTTCGGTTTAGCAACCATGAGCTTTACCGACTCGACCACGCCGACCCCAAAAGTTTTTATTTGGTTTTTTAAGATTTTGTTAGAAGTTTAACAAAAGTATTAGTAAGGCAATCATTTTACTGTCAAACTTAGCATGTTATATCCCCTTATCTGCTACACAAACATTGAAAGTGGATTGCTTCCCTTATATACATGTACTTGCTGGATTGTAATGTAATGTAAATAGGTGGGGTTTTTTTACAAGCCTGCTGTTTTAAAATACATCACTAGAATTAATGAATATTATAATTCATGTCTTTAATTCCATTGGCTTTTGAAAATGTATCCTCCTTATCATTTTTTCAGTATTGGTTATCATCACAAGACCCTTCCTCTTTAGACCCCCAGACCAAATACCTCAGTGAAGTCAATATACTAGGACAGCCCCATGTATCAAAAAAAAAGGTACTTTATTAACTCCACAACTCTGGCTTTAAGATCAGCCTGACATGAATCTTCCAGGTAACACCCAAGTAAGGAGACTGTCATAATAGAACAAAGATAGATTTTTATCTCAGTACTTTGTCCTGATATTCTTGAGGACTGGATAAAATAATCCCTAATCTCAACATTCTGTCCAATTTATCCTATATAAAGCCATTGCTGCTATTAATGAGAAAAAATTATAAGAGCTGATAAAAAACAGATCTATGCACTCGTGCCGGGGTTATTATAATAGATTAGATGGTCAGCCAGACGGAAAAGTTTATTAATTATCTTCCTGGTCAATAGACTGCTATAAATACAGGATGTAGATCTTAGAGGGCGTCTAGTAAAATGGAGCTGTTGCAGCTAGACTCTGACCTATTTGTTCACTTGATCTAATGGGGGCCCTAAGAATAAACTAGGAAACCGCAACTATAAGTAAAACATAAATATTAATATTACTATTATTTTTCTTAGTTTTAATACTGAACCCTAGATAATTAGCACAATACCTTAAATTGTTATCTATTGCTAACAACTTTTATTATTACTTGACAGATGAACATTGACCCAGATAAAGCAGAGAATTTTCTACAAGAATTGGATAAACTTGACCAAACTTTGAGGCACAGATGATCTAAATTTACATTTAGAATGTTGTTTTATTAAGACTGGGAACAAATGAGTTTGGATTGTTTAGAAGTGAACATTTTTACATACATTAATGGTTTTACAGCGTGTTAATTGATTTTTTAAACATTGGTAAATTGTAGTTGTCTCAAATGATATTTAAGACTTTAATATTTGTTGGTTTTCTCATTATATTTAAGTTATCGGAATTTTAGTTTTATTGATAGTGTTTTTAGAAATCATAGTGCCTTTGGGAACTAATTTGTTAGTATTAAAATTAAAACATTTGTATAGATCTTTCTGTTGGTCCTGACGTGTGTGAATGTTTATTCTGTTCTTAGTTTATCTTCAGTATTGTACTTGTACCTCATTCTCTTTGTATTGATGTAGATCCTTTTGATACTTCATAACCTGTTGCTTTTTTTTTATTTTGATTCAAATTATAAGATAATAATTTTTACATTAAAAGAACTTAAACAATTTTTTTAAAGCTTCTTTGTCCAGTAATTTGAAAGCTACTCAGTATTTTTTAAAATCATTTGATCAACTAGTTAAATAAAATATTAAAGGGTTTTGGATGAATAGCCTACATTTGAAAGCCTGTTTTTTCCCATAAATGGTAGCCTAGCTGGTATAACATTACTGAATGGCTATGACATTCCTGGCTTCAGGAGAAATACAACAAATTGATGAGGACTGTGACTAAACTAAAAAGGCTATGAAAGATTTCACTTCATGTATATGCTATTCTGTTTGTTGGTTTTTATCTAAGTAGGCCTACTAGTTTTTAAATTTATGTAAACTTTAAGTGGAACAGTTTATTTGTTAACATTTAAACTCGGGACATTTTAAGATGGGGGTTAGATTGTCATATCAGCTAGGTGTAGCTCTTATTTTGTCTTTCTTGTCCTTACTTATCCCATCTTATTTCTATCCCCAAACTTAATCATTATATTAAACCTATCAATGACCTATCCTAATCCCATCTATCTTAGAATAGCTGATAGGTAATTTATATGGGTCAGGGGGTAATATCCTGAAGAGTTTTTAACAGGGGCAACTTTAATCAAGTCCTGCTCATGTTTTTCCCATCTGAGGTTTGCCTACCAGTGCCTGATCTAATTCATGTGTTTGATGAACAGAGCTGAAGAAACAACATCACACAAGCCATCTTTCTCTGCCCAGTAACAAGTCATCTTTCTCTGCCCAGTAACAACCCATCTTCCTCTGCCCAGCAACAAGCACACCCCCCCCCCCCCCCCCCCGGAACAATAAGAGAGAAATGCTGCATAAACTATTCTGCTGATTAAGACAAACGCTACATAAATGGTTTTACTTAATTAGGTTTAGCTCTTGAACAAAAAATTTCAAATGTTACACAATTATCCAAAAAATTTCAAATGTTATACAATTATCAAGAAAATTTCAAATATTATAAAGTTGTCCAAAATATTTCAAATGTTATACAACTGTCCAAAATATTTCAAATGGTATACAATTGTCCAAAATATTCAAATGTTATTCAATTGACCAAAAAAAATGTTATACAATTATCAAGAAAATTTCAAATATTATAAAGTTGTCCAAAATAGTTCAAATGTTATACAACTGTCCAAAATATATCAAATGTTATAAAATTGTCCAAAATATTTCAAATGATATTCAATTGACCAAAAGATTTCTTGTGTTACACTATTGACCAAAAGATTTCTAATGTTACACTATTGACATAAACATCCTGTTTGTAGTTTTACCGCATCAGTTAAAAATAGAGCGAGAAAACCCTATCGACACTGGCAAAGGCGCCTTCAACCCAACCCACGTGATAACCTTTGGCATGATCAGCCCCAACCACAAACACGTCATCGGTTAGGGACGGGTGTTGAATGGTTGATATGACTTCATCATACCTATAGCCTGCTTTCCAAATGACAAAACCACAACCGAAAGGATAAGACACCCAGAACTGAGACATGGAAGTTATGGGGGCTGGGATTTCGCTTCTCTTCATGCCGTAGGCTTTGGCCAGGTCGGTGAGAATGTGTTCAGCCAATGGTGTCATCACGCGGTTTGGTCCAGGGGCGGAGCTAGAAAGTAGTTCCCCTTTAGTGTTGAGAGATAGGAGCCTGCTGGATTTACTGTCTTCAGAGTAACTTGTCATCAGAGTGTAGACTCCCGTGATATTTGACCTGCCGAAGTCGTACGCTTGACTGAAGGCCTGGTCAGAAAACATGACGGGGGTTGCGTGGGGTGCGTTCTGGAGCCACCAGGGGCGTGAGAACGTCATGAAAACTTTGTTGGCGGGAACTTCCCTGACTGCGTTGATGGCGTCTTCCACTCTTTTGTCTCTGGAGGAAAAAAATGTGAGAAGGTTAAATTTAGCTTTAGAGTCTAGTTTATCTAAGGCTAAAAAGTCAAATATGATTCTAGATTGTAGATATTTCAAGGGGCGTAGCGAGGGGGGGGGGGGGGGCGGACCGCACCGAGTGACACCATTTAGGGGGGTGACACCAAGGCAAAAAAAAGCAAAATATATAGAGAAAAACTTGAGGGGGGGGTGCAAATCGAAAACTTGAGGGGGGTGTGCAAATCGAAAATGTGAAAGTTTGTCCACAGGAAGGGTTGCTACGCCTCTGGGGGGGGGGGGTGACACCATTAAGTGCCGCACCGGCTTTTTTAACTTTAAATTATGACGATTAAACTACCTGAGCGGACTCCAATCGATTGTTTTCAAGGCAAACTTTGGTACAGCTAAAATCACCTTTCTGGCGCAAACAACGTCTCGATCACGCTGAAAGAGTTTTATGTTGATTATGTTTCAGGTTTATAATGAGTTAATTGATCTTTTTTTAACGGTTTACAATACTCACTACACCTAAACAATTTGTTGTTGTTTTAGCAGCTGTTTTATCTCGTAGATGATTAGCTGTCTCCAGATATCGAGCCTCATCTGCCGGGGGTTCGAAACTCGACCACGCCGACCCATTACATCTTGTCAATATCTTCAAATATCTGGTGTAAAACTACAGCCGATTACCTTGTGAAAATATCGATCTCAAATAAAGACTTACCTTCTCAAAAGTGTAGCCATTCTGTGTGTTTGTGTGCACAAGTTCAAGGACGTAGCCCTCTCGGTAGTTCCTGATGGACACCAGACGTCTGTTGATGGTTAGCTTGTGCCTGGACCATTCAAATTGTCAGTTTTTTAGTTTATTATACGCTCATATTAGCTTGTTAATTAAGTTGATGGCTAATAGGCTTGCTGAGTGGCGAGGAATTTTAACTAAGGGCCTGCATTAATAACATAATCGCAGCCCATTTCATAATCGCCTACTGAGGTGAATTACTGTCTTAAGGCTGTTGGGGTGGGGTGGTGGTGGTGTGGAGGGGGTGATGTGGACCCATTCTAACAGTTCTAATGGCTATAAATAGTCATCACATGACTTTGACAACTGCTACAGCTAATTTTAATTAGTTTAATTTTAAACCGTGAACTCACCTCTTGCTGGCCTTGAGGAACCTGTCGACGAGTTTGGTTGGTATTGCGCTAAAGCCCTCTTTGATCGTCTGCACCACAAAGTCACCACTATTGGACAAAAACAATGTTATACAGGTAAGTCTGTTGGTCGGTTTGGCCAGTCTCTCTGTCTGTCGGTCAGTGTTTCTTCCAGACTTTTTTCTCCGGGGAGGGGGGGGGGGGAGACGGACACTCGTAAAAGTAAAGTTTTCTATATAAATTCCATTTCGTTCGGGGGGGGGGGGAGTAGACTTTCTTGATTCCACCCCCCCCCCCCCCTCGAAGAGATGCCTGAAAGAAAATCTGCTCTCTGTCGGTCAGTCTCTCTGATGGTCAGTCTTTTTGTCGGTAGGTCAGTCTCTCTGTCGGCCAGTCTCTCTGTCGATCTGTCTGTCCGTCGTCTAAAAAAACAAAAGCTGACTTTTCAGGTCCCAGATTATTCTCGAAGATTGGTAGCGGGGACGTGTCAGCAGCCCCGTCAGACTCGAAGATCGCGAGGGCTCTCAGGAAAGCTTTACCGTCTGCTGTCGCCACGGTGTCGAGAGCTTCGTCAATTCTGGAAGAGAACGGATCTTTTAATCCTAATCTGGCACATAACTTGGTCAGTTAATTTAACACGTATCTTTGGCAGTTAATTAGACTCATATCCTGGTCAGTTAATCTGACAATATCCTGCTCAGTTAATCTGACACATATCCTGGTCAGTTAATCTGACACATATCCTGGTCTACACGCTAAGAACCTCGGGAAAGTGTTTACTAACTGCACAAGAAGCTGACCACTGAACCAGCCGCTACCCACGTATCTGTTTGTTAACATGCGTAGTTGTAAAAGTAGCTGAAACCTAGCCATCAGCATATGTCAGGGGTCGGCAACCTGCGGCTCGCGAGCCGCATGCGGCTCTTTTGATGTCAGGATGCGGCTCTTCTGCTCCATGCACAAATATTAATAATTATTTTATTTTCGAAACGCTTAAAATATTGTTCTGCAACATTCGGTGATGGACGATATAACAATACATATAAACGATAAACACTCGCTATTCTATTAGAATATTTAGTTACTTCCTATTTTAATGTACTTCCCATTAAATTGTCCATCCCGAATCGAAATATTCAACTTCATGGTAGATATTACAAAGAAACTAAAAGAGCTAAATGTAAAACTGCAAGGAAAGGAAAACCTAACCTATGCCTTGCTTGAAAAAGTTGATTGTTCCGAAAAAAAAATTTTTTGTTGAAGTCACAGAGAGCGATACATTACTTAATTTTGATAAATTTGAAAAAAATATCATGATGAAACCAATGCTACTTTTAACAATGAATTACTTAGGCATTACAATAAACAAAATGAAGGATGGATTCCTGAGTGATTTGAGTAATTCGAAACAAATGCAAGTACTTTGACGTACATAGTAGATCGTCTTAACACAAAAACAAATGCGATCAACATTGAGCCAATTGGAATGGATGCTGGTTCGCTTCAAATGAAATGGCTGGATTTGAAAACCAAACATTTCACGGAACTTAGGAGAAAGTTAGAAGATTTGGAGGTCCAGAAAAAACATGCTGCACAACTGGACAGCTCTAACATAAATGCCTCGAGTTTAGGCACTATTATGTGACGCATGGAATATTCTCCCCAGTGTTTCTTCCAGACTTTTTTCTCCAGGGGGGCACTTGAAATTATCGGGGGGGGGGGGGGGCGGTAGTTTTCTTCGAGGGGGGGGGGGGGGGGCGGACACTGTTAAAAGTATATATTTTCTATATAAATTATATAAATTTCATTTCGTTCGGGGGGGGGGGGGCGGTAAATTTTTTTCGAAGAGATGCCTGGTAGAAACTCTGCCCAAGATACTACAATGAGGTAAAGAAGTTAGCATTTTGAGTGCTGAAGATCTTAGGGTCACTATATTTATGCGAGCAGGCGTTTTCTTGCATGAATAAAAGAAAAAGTAAAGAAGCCAACCAGTGTTTCTTCCGGGCATTTCTTGAGAGGGGCTACGCCCCCACCCCCCCCAGAAGAGTCTACCCCCCTCCCCGGACGAAATGGACTTTATATAGTTAATATATACGTTTAACAGTGTCCGCCCCCTCGGAAATTTTAGTCCGTCCCCCGCGAAAATTTTAAGTGCCCCCCCCCCCCCCCTTTCGGAGAAAAAAGTCTGGAAGAAACACTGAAGCAAACTAACAAATAAAAAAATCTTAAGGCGTGCTTGAAACTGAAAACAAGATATGAGCCAGGTTTAAACAAACTTTCAAAAAGCTTGCAAGGTCAAACTATAATTGTAAATATTATTCAATGATTATATTTATATTTATTTTGATTACTGATTTTATTATTCTAGCAGAGCTGGTTAAAATACTTAAATATGTTTTGTGCTGATCATGTGTATGTTTTTATATAAATAAATATTATTTCATATTAAAAGCTATTTATTTTAAATTATATATAGGCCTATATATATATATATATATATATATATATATATATATATATATATATATATATATATATATATATATATATATATATATATATATATATATATATATATATATATATATATATATATATATTCCTAATAAAATATAATAATATTGAAATAAAAATGGCGGCTCTTTAAAAACTGGGAAATTTTATAAATTGCCACTTTTGGCTCTTCCGTCTCAAAAGGTTGCCGACCCCTGGCATATGTGCATATCCTCTTCTGCCCCTGTAGCTGCCCTTATAGCCAGTCAATCTGCCCAGCACCTAGCCGCCTGCCTATGTGTCTATCCGCTGCCCATTTATCTGCCCTTATAGCAAGCCAATCTGCCCAGCCCCTAGCCCGCCCCTCGTTACTCACGGAACTTGGTACATGTACCGGCCGTCCGAGAGCTTGAGCTGCATGAGAATGTCCTGAGTGACCTCTGTGCCGTTGTAGCCCGTCAGCTTCTCCAGGTAGTACCTGAGACACAAAGATATAGTCAATGAATAGGTGGGGTGTGTACCTAGCTGGTGGTACCTGTCACAGGTAGAATGTTTAATTGGTTGGTGATATCTGTGACTGACAAATTACTTACCTAACAATTTTGGGAAAATGTGAGACATTTACCAAATCTACCCCCTCACCCCCAGTGACGCCTTTGACTTCAAGAAATTAAACTTCCTACAACCTATCTTCGACTGATCCCCCCAACCCCACACACCTACCTAAACAAACGCCCCTGGTTCGCCTTTTCCTCGGGATTCAGGTTGTAGGGTATGTTGCCGCCGCTGACCTGTGCTGAAGTCAGAGTTCTCCCCCTCAGGTAATAGAAGGCGTTGGCTGTATTCCCGTGATGTAAGGAAAACGGTACTTTGGTCAGTCCTGTTGAAGAAAGGTTAAGCTTACATTACAGCAGTTCTAGACGAATTAACAAATACCCAGTTTCACGAAGTGACAAATACAAATCTTACCCAGCCAGTTCAACACGAACTGACCAATACAAATCTTACCCAGTTCTAGGCGAACTGTGACCTACTTAGGTCTTCTTTTTTTAATTGTTTGATTTTATAATTATTTAATTAGCCTTGAGTGGTCTGTTGTTCAAACTAAAGAAATTTTCCATCAGGCTCATGTGATAGTATTCACCACTGAGTTCGTGTGGCTCGTGCTTTGGCTAATTCCTCCCAATGGTCCTTGGCATTGAGGACGACATCCCATAATTTTGGAGTCATATATAAGGCAGGAGAGAGCCACGTACGACGCCATGTTTTATTTTCTAGTTTAAGCAGCAATTATCTTTGTACTCAGTATTTTTCTGTGTCTCACTTTGACAACGTGTAGGTTGTGTTGATTACTTAGGAACCGTAACCAGTGTTAGTAGTTTCAGTGTATTATTCTTTAACTCCTAAGTTGGGTCTTTCATTATTTGTATATTTATATTTTTTTACACAGCTATTTATTATTTAAACTTGTATACCTATTAGAAGGTTGTAGATTGATTAAAAGTATTATTAGTTGCAGAAGGTCTTCGTGTGTGTTTTTACCCTAGAAATTATATTCGAGTCCACGGAGAATCTTTGTTGTCTGGTAATCGTTTAGTTTCAACACGAACTGACCAATACAAATCTTACCCAGCCAATTCTAGACGAACTGACCAATACAAATCTTACCCAGTTTCTTGGTCAGCTCCTCCGTCCTAACATGAACCTCCGAGATGAACCTCATCCCCCCCGCCTCCAGCTGAAGATCAGGAGCGTTGGGCAGGGTTGTGGTGTACAGTCTCCCACCCACACGGTTGGAGAACTCGAACAGTTCCACGACTTTGTTAGCCTTGCGCAGCTTGTAAGCTGAGTAGGCACCGCTGGGCCCCGCCCCCACAATGGCCACATCCACGGTCCGTGAGCAGCCATCTGTGGCACAAGTTGAATATGTAATTTGGTTTCTTAAGAGGTTTCTTAATCAGGGAAAAATGTTATCAATTGTGAACCTAATCTAAACACTTACCCTAACCTTTGGATCAGCAGATTGACAACACTTACCGTAACCCTGTATGTGTGTACATGTCTACCAATGTGCACAGGTGTTTGCATATATGCGCATCTGTGTGCATGTCTGTGTGCATGTGTTACTCACGAGGTCTGTTATTTCGACGAGGTCTGTTTAGGTGGTCAGAGAGAGCCACAAGCATCAGCAGGAACACACAGCGAGCCATGACTGACATCAAACAGAAAGTAAGAACGTCCTGTATCGTTCAATGCCAGTAGACAACTTGAATGCAACTATATAGCAAAAATACACACAAATTATCATTGCCCCAATGCCCATTCATCTGGCATAATATAAATAGAAGTTTTAAATGTTACTTTCATGCTCAGCGAGTGCAGACTGCAGAAAAAGGCGCTATTGTAAATGGTTTTCTTAAATATCCAAGTAAATATTTAGTACTGTTTGCTTGAAAATGTGTATACGTATAAGCTCATGATTTCATCAAATTAGATCAATAGCTTTTAACTCGATATACAACGCAGTCAATTCTAATCAATAAAAATGGTTTTGTAAGCGACGGATTACGGATTACATTGAACATCTATCACACAAACAACAACAGATGCTAGAGAACACAGAAATGGTGATTGCCATGTCATCAAATATAGGCCTAAAAATCCACAAGCAAAAGGCGAACGACATGGAGACAAACTTCTCTAGCATAAAACCAGTCATGAATATGGAAGTTCCGTCTTTTGTATGTGTGGCTATTTACATGTAAGTAAGTAAATAAAGTTCCCTTTCAAACCTGCCGGTGTATGTGGCAAGTGAAGTAGAGTTCACTTGTTTCTGTGACCTCGGCATATGAAGGGTTAGTGTGGTCAGCACTATGCCCAACCGCCTTTACTTACAGAGGCGTAGCGACCCTTCCTGGCGCCCGGGGACAAACTTTTCAATTTGCAACCCCCCCCCCTCAAACTTTCAATTTGCACCCCCCTCAACCTTTCAATTTATTTTCCCAACCCTATTTGGCGCCCCGGGGACATATGCCCCCCCCCCACCCCCTCGCTGCGCTACTGTTTACTTACCCTAACGTGATCCCGGATTCGAACCAGTGGCGGAACTAGAAAAAAAAGGCTCCCCCGCAAAAAAATTTTTTTGGCCCCCCCCCCTATATATATATATATATATATATATATATATATATATATATATATATATATATATATATATATGTATGTATGTATATATATGTATATATAAATATATGTATGTATATATATGTATATATATATGTATGTATATATATATATATATATATATATATATATATATATATATATATATATATATATATATATATATATATATATATATATATAAGTAGCCCGCTTCTCAAATTTTTAAATAGTCTATTACCTGAGTATTTTAATCTATTTTATTGCAATGTATAACCACTCTGAGATAACGAACCAGACAACAATAAGTCCGAACTCATTTCTTTTTTTATTTTTTTATTTTAAATATTTTGATTTAATGATGAGAATTGTAAAATTTTGGGTATTTATTAATACGTGGTTGTTTTTTTAATACAAAAATCCTAATTTATAAAAGGCCATGTGCGCTCTTCTCTCTCTCTCTCTCTTTCTCTGTCCGCAAAAAATTTTCGCCGGACATCACGTCAGAATCGGCAGCGGTATATGGAGAACTTTTTACGGACTTTTGTTGAAAATAATATGTTAGATGTTTTAAATGTATAACCACAATTTTACTTAAAGAAGAAAAATAAAAATTAAAGGCGTATTCGAATGTAGAGAAACAGTATTATTTATGCAACCGGAAAAGCATTAATATATGTGAAAAAGAACGCATAAAACTGTGACGTCACTATTGCTTATACATTAACTAATGACGTCATCTGCCGTGTTAAGAATGAAAAGAAATGAACTATTTCATTCAAATTTGATTTAGATCTACGTACACTATGAAATGTATACAATACAATTTTTCCGGCCTAAACTCATAAAATTTATTTTATGTATTTGGATTCTAGATCTAGAGATTCTAGATCTAGACTAAATCTAAATCTAAATCTACGCAATAACTAGATCTAGACGTAGACGCTAAGATCTAGATTTAGACTCTAACTTCTCTAAAATCAATTCCAAAAATAAATTTCTATATTAGGACTAAACTATTTCAAGACTTATTTATTTTATACAAAATCTTTGTTTGGAACTGGCTAATTTGGGATAAAAAATTAATTTGAAAGAATAGGCATATTCGCGTAAGTTAAGATTTTAAAATACGTGTTTCATTCTCCGTATTTTATAAGGTGCCTAAATAGCGGAGATGTTAGTGTACATTAAACCACGCAGGTGGTGCGGGTTCGAGACACAGCAAGTCAACTTGGTTAATGTATTCTTTTTTATTATGCTCGGGCTAAACTTAAAAAAAAAATTCTTTTAGGAATCTAGATCTAGATCTAGATTGTCGGGTGTCCGATAGGGCACTTCCCGGCGCCGCAGGCGCTTCAAATTTGGCATGATCTTGCCTTGGTGCGACAGAACACGGGGGCCGGTTGGCCGAAAAGTCTACGATGTGGGGGTCAAAACTGACCTCGACTGACCGGTACCTTATATGAGCTATAAATCGAAAAAAAATGTCCACGGAGGAACCTCTTCATAACTCTTGAGGTCGTAGACCGACCTTCGGGCGAATTAATTAAGCATTCAAATTCTCAATGTTTTCGAAAGCCTAAGCGAAGCTGGGCAGCATGCCTAGTATACCTATATTTTTGTAGGATATTTAAAAACTTTAAAAGAATTATGGTTTATAACAATAATAAGTAAAAATATTATAATTTACACAGCAACCTCAACTGTTAAATAGTTTGTTAAATACGTTCAGTGTCCGAACTCATTTCGTTTATTTTTTTTTTTTTTTTTTTTTAAATACTTTTATTTGCTGCCCGCAATAATCGTGTTTTACTAATATTTGAATAGCGTCTATATGTTGACTGATCAAATTTATATAAACACGTAAGTTTGATTTTGAAATGGTTTCTCGCGTTATGTTTATTTTTATGATTTTTTGTATTTATATTATTAGTTTTGAATACATTCATTTTTATAGCTATAGGATTCTTTAATATGCTTTATTTAAATAATAATTAAGAGAATAAATGGCTCTTTAATTTACATGGTACAAAACTATTTAATTGAGCTTTATGGGCACCCGTGTTTTGATGAAGGGCAGTAAGTCATGGAAGTAGTGTGAACGTTTGCCTATCTTTCAAAGTAGAGCTCTTGTAGATTTTATATTTTTCTACGCAACAGTGTGTGTTAGTTACTGTAGAACAATCACTGCTACAGTAGACCTGTTTGTTTTTTACAAAACCACTATCAAGGTGCACGAAAAACATTATTTATGAAAAGAAAATTCATTGTTTTTTGGTCGGAATTGGGCCCCTAAACGTCGTGGGCCCCCCCGCATTGCGGGGTCTGGCGGCACTGTAGTTCCGCCCCTGATTCGAACTCGAGACTTAGCGCTAGGCCACTCTGTCCCACGGGTATTTACATGGCTACATGCTTAACTTTTTAATAACAAGCTTTTATGTAATAATGCACTAAAAAGGAGAAAATAAATGATTTTCTTTAAATATCCCTTTATCTACTGACGGTACTTATAAGTACCACTTTAATTAAGTGCCTGTATTATTTTAATTTAATACTAATTTTTAAAATTATTGATGTAATTAATAGTATTATCTCCCCTGAGTCGCGGGTAGTTGGAGGGATCGATGTTTTTTGAAAATTTCTTGTGTGGCGCCATTTTCAATGTTTTCCAGTATCGGTAGTTTACAATTGTTCCGTACAGTTCTCAAACACATTCCTGATTTCCCTTTGTTTTACCTTTTTTTCAACTTTTCAACCCCAAATATTTTTTATTCGCACCTTCAATAGTCCGGCAAATGCAAATTCTGTTCTTAGTTTATCTTCAGTATTGTACTTGTACCTCATTCTCTTTGTATTGATGTAGATCCTTTTGATACTTCATAACCTCTAGCTTTTATTTATTTGATTCTAATTATATGATAATAATTTTTACATTAAAAGAATCTAAACAATTTTTTAAAGCTTCTTTGTCCAGTAATTTGAAAGCAACTCAGTTATTTTTTAAAAATCATTTGATCAACTAGTTTAATAAAACATTTAAAGGTTTTGGATGAATACATTTGAAAGCCTGGGTTTTCCCATTAATGGTAGCCTAGCTGGTATAACATTACTGAATAGCTATGAAAGATTTCACTTCATGTATATGCTATTCTGTTTGTTGTTTTTTATCTAAGTAGGCCTACTAGTTTTTAAATTTATGTAAACTTTAAGTGGAACAGTTTATTTGTTAACATTTAAACTCGGGACATTTTAAGATGGGGGTTAGATTGTCATATCAGCTAGGTGTAGCTCTTATTTTGTCTTTCTTGTCCTTACTTATCCCATCTTATTTCTATCCCCAAACTTAATCATTATATTAAACCTATCAATGACATATCCTAATCCCATCTATCTCTGAATAGCTGATGGGTAATTTATATGGGTCAGGGGGTAATATCCTGAAGAGTTTTTAACAGGGGCAACTTTAATCAAGTCCTGCTCATGTTTTTCCTATCTGAGGTTTGCCTACAAGTGCCTGATCTAATTCATGTGTTTGATGAACAGAGCTGAAGAAACAACATCACACAAGCCATCTTTCTCCGCCCAGCAACAACCCATCTTTCTCTGCCCAGTAACAAGTCATCTTCCTCTGCCCAGTAACAAGTCATCTTCCTCTGCCCAGTAACAACCCATCTTCCTCTGCCCAGTAACAAGTCATCTGCCCAGTAACAACCCATCTTTCTCTGCCCAGTAACAAGTCATCTTCCTCTGCCCAGTAACAACCCATCTTCCTCTGCCCAGTAACAAGTCATCTGCCCAGTAACAACCCATCTTTCTCTGCCCAGTAACAACCCATCTTCCTCTGCCCAGCAACAAGCACCCCCCGGAAATTGTTGTCCGCTCGCCCCCCCCCCCCCCCCCCCCGAACATTATTAGTGCACCCCCGGAGAAAAAAGTCTGGAAGAAACCGTGCTTAGAAAAGATGTAGGTTACTCGTAAGGAAAAGACAGGCAATATGGAAGTCCTATCTGTTGTTAGGAGGTGAAGGCTACATCAAAAGAATAAATAAACAAAGTGGGGGTGGGGGGTGGGGGGGGGGGCAGGCACAGATGTGA